AAGTACTTGGACCAAAAAAAGTGGGAAGTGTATCTAACTTTAGAGGGTAGTCACTTAAGAGCGTAATCCATCCAACTACTAACAGTGCAAACAGTTCATCTTCCCTGTTTCAGCAGGCAGTTTCCTGCACTGCTAACACTAGAATAGGATTCTTTTAACAAAAAAAATTAAGGAAAATGTGATGTTACTGCCCAATCAACAAAGATAATGGGTGAGAGTAACTTTGTTGTCAATTAGTAATCCAAAATAGATATGAGTCATATAAAAATGCTGCCTGGAATGGCGATAGCTAAGGACTCTATGACTAAGCAATATTAACTTGATATCAATTGCTTACTATTTAAATGATTATATTTTATGTGTAACCCAAGTGTTTGGGCTTTTACTAAAATTGAAATCTAATTTAAAAGTAAATTTGTGTGAAAAAAATTCTGATAGTGCTCAAGGATGACTAAATTTAGAGCACCATACCATCAAGATCAACAGGATATCTATGCATATTGTTTAATTGTTTCTAATAAAAAATAATAAATTCACAGTTAATAAATTAACTATGAATCCAAGCATATAAAATTGACTAGCATCTTCAAAGATATTTTATTCATGGTCATTTACTTTAGGAGCTCATGAAGCACTATTACTATAGTCCATATGAGTTCATAATCTTTGCCTAATGGCTACATATCTGTGTAAAATAAACTAGTGCAGAAAAATGTCACTACTAATGTTTAGTTAACTGCACATATACATTGTGTGAAATCTCTAAAGATGCATAAGGATAGGAATTTAAAAATTACATTAGTAAAAAATATTCCTGTAAGTATTAGAAGGATAGGACATTTATAGCATCAGAAATGGATTATTCTAGCATTTTTGAATAGTTAAGGACTTTAGGATGAAATGGACAAAAACCTAATTTAAACTAATTTAAACAAAAGGGGAGTTTTCTGGAAGGACATTGCTATATCATCCAAGCTGTGAGGAAGGTGGGCATATTGCTGGGACTCAGTTAACTAAAACCAGCTATGATAGCTCTCACCAGTCTCAAATTTTTAGTTTTTTGTTTTGTTTTGTTTTTTGAGACAGGGTCTTATTTTGTTGCCCATGCTGGAGTGCAGTAGCATGATCACGCCTCACTGCAGACTTGGTCTCAAGTTTTTCCTGTAAGTGTTAGCCCCATTTTTCTTTTTGGAGGCAAGTTGGCTTTCTTTTTATGATAGAAAATATGGTCAATGACAGCTCCTAAGTTTTACATCTTAGAGTTTTGATCACCTAAGTGAGAATGACTTGATTTGCTATGTTCCACATCTGAAAATCCAGAAGATCTGCAATTAGCCCAGCTCACATCAGGCATTCATTCTGAAAGCAAATGTTAAGGGTGGGGAGCAAGCTCATGTTAAAAAAAATGCTGTTCCTGTGTTACTTGGATAAATTGGGAGGAAGAAAGGAGTTTCTAAGAAAGGCATTATTGGTAGACAATCCCACATGCATCTGTGATAGCCAGCCACCCAGTGGCCCCAACTGATCCCCACCTCCTTATATTCACAGTTTGCTATTATTTTGTACTTGGTTTGATCTGAATAACCAATGGCATATGACAGAAGTGATGCTATGTCATTTCTGAGAGGAGGATGTAAAAAAGACTACGGCTTTTGTCTTGGGCATGCTCCTTCTTATTCTTGGATTTTTTTACTCTGAGGGAAGCAAGCTACCTATCATGTTGTGGATAGTCCTTATGGAGAGGCCCATTTAGTGAGGAGTTGAAGCCTTTGGCCAAAATCCAGCAAGGACTCAACACCTGCCAATAACCACTTCAGTGAGTTTTGAAGTGGATTTTCCAGTCCCAGTTGTGCCTTGGAATGACTACACTCCAGCTGACAACTTGACAGCAACCTCACAATAGACTATGAGACAGAAGTACCCAGCTAAGACACTCCTGAATTTCTGACCTTAGAAACTGAAATAATAAATGTTCATTGGGCCAGGTGCGATGGCTCATGCCTGGAATCCCAGCACTTTGGGAGGCCAAGGCAAGAGGATTGCTTGAGCCCAGGAGTTCGAGACCAGCCTGGGCAACATAGTGAGACCTCATCTCTATAAAAAAAAAATAAATAAATGTTCACTGTTGCAAAGTTTCAGAGCACTTTGATTTACATCAATAAATAATAAGCATCTATTATAGATTTCCAAACTTTTAAATTATCAGAACCTTTTTATTTGGAAATTGTTACCAGCAAAGTATTTATAATTATTAGTAATTGCTTTCTTACTCTTATTAATCACATATGTAACTATCAATCAGAACTTCTTATCATGGGTGATAACAAGTGATATTAGTCTGAGAGAATTTAATTCTAGTCAAAAGCTGAAAATAAAACATCTTTTGAAGTTTTAGGGGATATTTGGCAATGTCTAGGGACATTTTTGGTTGTCACAACTCGGGGAGAGAGGGGTGATGCTATGGGTATCTAGTGGGCAGAGGCCAGAGTAAATATTCTATAATGCACAGGACTGAAACTTACCTACCCTCACCCAAACAAAGAATTATCTGGCCTAAAATGCCAATAGCGCCAAAACTGAGAAACCCAGTTAGGCTATTGCCCCAACATGTATTTTCTATAACTAAAGACCACACAATTAATTCTATTTTCAGAGATTTAACAGTCACTGAGTTGAACCCAACCCATTCCGAGGAAGAGATAGTCAAGTTTTAGTCACAAAAATTGATATTGCAGCCTAAGTTAGAACTCTTAGTCAATAAATATTTAATTAACACAAGCTAATTTTTTCCAACAAGAAGTTATTCCTTCCTGTGTAAGCAGATGGCCATGATAAAAAAAAGAGAAGTACTTGTCATTTCACATCAAAATAAAAACAAATAAATTATCTCTAAAAATGAAGATTTCTTCCAAGAAATTGCTGTTAAATATTTAATGCAGAAATACAAAAAAGGAAATATTATTCAATTGAGGAAATAAAAAGATTAAAATTTTTTACTTTAGGCCGGGTGTAGTGACTCACGCCTGTAATCCCAGCACTTTGGGAGGCCGAGGGGGATGGATCACCTGAGGTCAGGAGTTCAAGACCAGTCTGACCAATATGGTGAAACCCTGCCTCTTTAAAAAAAAAAAAAAAAAAAAAAAAAAAAAATTTTACTTTAGATCTACCAGTAAAATTAACAACAGAGTATTACCACAGGTTAAAATTATACTTTTAAAATTCTGACTAATTTTTAAATAGTTTTTATGTTATACTGTTATGTCTTCTTGAAAAATCAGACTGTTTCTTTATCCAGCAATAATACGTAAAGCAGCACTATTACATGTCCAAAAGTAGGTATATGTCCTTATCTACGGCTGATTTTAATATTTATCATTGGTCTTTTAAATATATGAATAAATGCTTGCTAAGTCCAAATGAATAGGGGTAGTAATATGACAAGACATCTAGGAAACTATGGACTAGCTGCAAGAGGTAGTTTTAACATTGCTAAATAAAGAGAAAATGATAAATATATAGATTATTTTTTAAATAAGCTTTCAACAACCCATACTTTAAAAATTTCTTTTAAAAACAATTTTTAAAAAAAATCGGCCGGGCGCGGTGGCTCAAGCCTGTAATCCCAGCACTTTGGGAGGCCGAGGCGGGTGGATCACGAGGTCAAGAGATCGAGACCATCCTGGTCAACATGGTGAAACCCCGTCTCTACTAAAAAAATCCAAAAAATTAGCTGGGCATGGTGGTGCGTGCCTGTAATCCCAGCTACTCAGGAGGCTGAGACAGGAGAATTGCCTGAACCCAGGAGGCGGAGGTTGCGGTGAGCCGAGATCGCGCCATTGCACTCCAGCCTGGGTAACGAGCGAAACTCTGTCTCAAAAAAAAAAAAAAAAAAAAAATCTCTGTATTTAAAATTATTGTTGTCAATGACTCCACTGAATACTACTCAGATCAAAGTATCTAAATATCCATATCGGTCAACACAATTCCAATCCCAATGACCACTTTTCAATTGGTTCCCTTAGTTTTATCCTTTCAATGTCAGCCTTGGTTAGTTGTCTTCTCTTTATGTAGGGCACAGTAGAAAACTCAAATATGGAGCATGGACATCTGGATAATCCATGTATAGGCTTCTGGGCATCTGCGATCCTTTTACAATTTTATGTAAAGTTTGTGTGTTATGTTTTTGTTTGTTTTTAAAAATATGTATATATCTGATATTGAATGGCATGGCAGTGTGTGTTATGTTTGTATGTGTGGATGTTAAGAAAAGGGGCCTATGTTTCAACAGATTCTTAAAAGAAACTATGATTGGGGCTGTTCATATAATTTGTCTTCCAAACTGGGACACCTGAGAGTTAAAACTAATGCCCAAACAACAGCATAAACTGGGACTGTCTCATGTAAATAGGCACATGTGGTCACCCTACCTAGAGACCATTGTTTTAGCACAGAAAATATAAAAGCATATTCCTGGGTCATTCTGCAGGTAATTTATTCAATGTATAAATAATGTCTCCTGCATTACCATGCTTAATAGAGAAGGCGTTATTCCCTACGTATTTGAAATACAATAGCTTTATTCAACATAATACTCCTTTGTTTCTTTCTTCTTTTTTTTTTTTTTTAACTATATAAATGCTTTAGAATGCAACAGGAATAGTCCCTTGTTACTTCCCTGCCTAAGTTTTCTCTAAATTTTATTTTAAACTACCTGTTACCATGTTGTTCACTGGGTAATTCTGTAGAGGGAAATACATCTGCTTTTCTACAACTGGAGTTCTTATAAAATGCTTTTCTGTGCTGTAAAATAAAACATACAGAAAGTCACATTTTCATATATATAGTATATATGTCTATATGTATTCCATTTATATCAAAGTATAATTATAAATATAATAAATATTTACATTTATTATAGTATATTACACACACACGTATATATTTGGACTTGTTTTACAAGTGAGAACTTATTCCAGGCAGTATATATAGTGATTGTTAAAAAATATATAGAATGCCTCATGAATTTGCATGTCATCCTTGAGCAGGGGCTGTGCTAACACCTGAGTAGTTCCAATTCTGGTATATGTGCTGTCAAAGTGAGCACATATATAGTAATTTAATTGCTCTTTGATCAGACTTCAGTCTTAATGGGTGAAAATGTTAATCATGAACTTCTTTTGTGCTTTTAAGTAATATAAAGACCCATATAGATATTCTAGTGTTCTTGGGCACTTCACAAAACAAGTATTTGAGTCTATAGAGGCCTGAGTCTTTTTCTCAATATCCCTAAAAGTACAGTAATGCAATACTATATATTTAGACAAAATGCACATATACATATGTAATATTAAATCTGCCAAGAGAAAAACATAGTAATCTCTATTTTAAATGATCACAACATTTCTATTACTTAGTGTTCAAATAATTGGACCTCTATTAACTAGTACTTCCATAGTTTACCATAACAAATAAAAATTGATGTCTGGGTCAGGCGCAGTGGCTCATGCCTGTAATCCCAGCACTTTTGGGAGGCTGAGGCATGTGGATAACCTAAGGTCAGGAGTTCAAGACCAGCCTGGCCAACATGATGAAACCCCATCTGTACTAAAAATACAAATCAGCTGAGTGTGTTGCCACGCACTTGTAATCCCAGCTACTCAGGAGGTTAAGGCAGGAGAATCGCTTGAACCCAGGAGACAAAGGTTTCACTGAGCTGAGATCACGCCACTGCACTATAGCTTGGGCAACAGAGTGAGACTCCATCTCAAAAACAAAAAAAATTGATGTCTAGGAAAACCATCACATAAATAGGATTTTGAAGTGACTTCTGAGGTTTGTTTTTTTTCTTAAGTTGTGTAGTATAATCAATTATATTATAATTTTTAAAAGTAAAAGGTGGCCAGGAGCAGTGGCTCATGCCTGTAATCCCAGCACTTTGGGAGGCTGAGGTGGGTGGATCACTTGAGGTCAGGAGTTTGAATTCAGCCTGTCCAACATGGTTAAACCCTGTATCTACTAAAAATAAGAAAATTAGCCAGGTGTAGTGGCAGGCAGATGTAATCTCAGCTACTCAGGAGGCTGAGGCAGGAGAATTGCTTGAACCTGAGAGGTGGAGGTTGCAGTGAGCCAAGATCACACCACTGCACTCCAGCGTAGGTGACAGAGCGAGACTCTGTCTCAAAAAAAAAAAGCTAAAAGGTTTTCAGCTAAAAGATCCTATTTTCATTCATGTCCTTTTGAACAGTCACTATTCAAAAATAATGTTTACTATACTTAGACCACATATAATTAATAATATTGTATAAAAATAAAAACAAAAACCTCGATAATTAAAAATTAGTCATCCTTAAATTTATTATTTTCCTAAAACTCTAAAAGTACACTGAGTAATAGCAAAGGCTTTATTTTCAATTTTTAAAAAGGTTCTATTTCATTTAAACTCTTACAAGAAAAACTGTATTCATTAGGACGAGATGTTACAAATAAAGCAAAATCATGTTCCCGGAAAAGTCAGAGACCACCCATTATTTATCATGGCTCTAAAAATTCTGGCCAAACAGTAAGATCTAAAGGGAAAAAGAGGTGGGAGTAGGATGAAACAGAAGAGATATTGTGAAAGAAGGAATACTTTCATTATTAACAATTGATATGACTATGCACCTTAAGAGCCAAGATAATCGACTAAAATATCTTTCAAATCTTAAAGAATTCCAAATGGGTAGATATTAGACAAATATCCTCAATTCAGTAACCCATAGTGGCTGCCTTCACTGGTAAAGTGGAGGTATCTTCAAGGAAACTGGAACCCATAGTGATCCTTGGCAATCCTATGTTTTTGGCTGTTTCTAAACATTAGGGAATGGAAACTCGGTGGTGGCCCTAAGTAGCCTGGTTTTAGGCTCTCATGGATGCACTGATAGAAAATGTTACCTGTATGCTAAATAATTAAAAAAAAAAAAAAAGCCGGGCACGGTGGCTCAAGCCTGCAATCCCAGCACTTTGGGAGGCCGAGGCGGGTGGATCACGAGGTCAAGAGATCGAAACCATCCTGGTCAACATGGTGAAACCCTGTCTCTATTAAATATATAAAAATTCAGCTGGGCATGGTGGCGCATGCCTGTAATCCCAGATACTCAGGAGGCTGAGGCAGGAGAATTGCCTGAACCCAGGAGGTGGAGGTTGCGGTGAGCCGAGATCGCGCCACTGCACTCCAGCCTGGGTAACAAGAGTGAAACTCCATCTCAAAAAAAAAAAAACAAAAAAAAAAAAACAAAACAAACAACCAGCAACTCCAGTTTCAACACATTGAGGAGATGCTTCTGTTGCTTCCCAGTTTGCCCATATGAAGACATCAAAAAAGGACTTAAGGATTCAGAGAAAGAGAAATCTTATGTTAAAGAAAAGAAGAAGATTTTTGTAAGAAACAAGTTTTGTGGAACAGCAACAAGTAAATAAGGCCAACTATGTATATTGAAAGATTTGCATTGGTAGAGATGATTTAAAGAGCAAATTGGGTAAAATGAGTAAACACAACTCTGAATCTTTAAAAGTATTGAATGAACAGATGCAATCTAAAGAAGTAGACCTCTAGCTAAGGACAGGTGAAAACTCAGCTGGTGATAAGGAATTTCAATCTACCTTTATCAAACTGGGAGGTGGAAAAGTTAAGCTGTGACCTGAAGGTCCATGGTTTGGAACAAAAGTTGATGAGGAAAGAATGTAATAATCTCAAAACAGATCTACTCAAAAGCCAAACAAACCTATCTGTATCAGGAAGACAATCTGAAGAGCAGAGATCTCTGAAGAGTAAGAACTTCAAGTGATAATACGCAGAATGCATACTGGCAACTGAAGAGATAAATGTCTAATTTACATCTGGTGACTCAAGTACAAGCTGAACTACTAAGTAAACTAAAAACCCCAACTGCAATCAAGAAAGCCTGTACCTCAGAAGGATGCATTGAAGATCCTCAGAAAGACAGCATAAAACTGCACATGATAAATTTTACTGCAGCATACACAAGACATTCCCTTCTCTCACCAAATGGCAAAGCTACATCTTCCCCTTTACCAGGAGATAAAAAGCTTTTATCAGAGAAAGCAGTCCTCCAGTCATGGACAGATAATGAGAGAGCCATTCCTAATGAGGGCACCAACTCTTATTCTCTAGATCATTTTGGGTATTCCTAAGCCCTCCTGACTCATGTGAGACAGCATTTAGGGAAATTAAAATTTTGCCTTTACCAACATGCCACCACTGCATTACTTGGATCAACATAATCCAGATTTCCTTTATAAGATTTAACTCTTAAGAGATTCATCATTTGATCACAAGGACACTATCTCTCAGTGGTTCTCTCAAGAAATTATGTAACAAACTAAACATAGATTTTGATTACAATTTTGTCAAGTTCTTCAGTACATGTATTTTAATACATTGTAGGATGTTATGTAGTTTATTTCCAGTATGAAAGAATACCCTCCAGCTCCATATTCTAAGAAACAGGTATATGCTACTAATTTTTTTTTTTTTTTTTTTTTTTGATACACGGCCTCATTCTTTCACCTTGGTTGAAGCACAGTGGCATGACCATAGCTAGCTCACTTCAACCCTCAACTCCTGGGATTAAGTAATCCTCCTGCTACAGCCTCCCAAGTAGCTAAGACTATAGGAGCACGCCACTACACCCAGTTGATTTTTTTAATCTTTTGTAGAGACTGGGTCTCTCAATGTTGCTCAGGCGCTGGTCTTGAACTCTTGGCCTCAAGCTATCCTCCTGCCTCAGCCTTCCAAAGTGCTGGGATTACAGGTGTGAGCCACCATGCCTGGCCTGCTACTATACTAATTAATTAATACCTTGAGCCCAGAAATTCAAGACCAGCCTCAGCAACATGGTGAGACCCCATCTTGACCAAAAAAAAAAAAAAAAAAGTTTAATTAGGCTGGGTGAGTTGGCACACACCTGTAATCCCAGCACTTTGGGAGGCCTAGGAGGGTAGATTGCTTGAGGCCAGGAGTTTGAGAACAGCCTGGCCAACATGGCAAAAACTCATCTCTATTACAAATACCAAAAAAATATATATTGGCCAGGCGTGGTGGTACACACCTGTAGTCCCAGCTACTCGGGAGGCTGAGGCATGAGAATTGCTTGAATCCAGGAAGTAGAGGTTGCAGAGGTTGCAGTGAACCAAGATCGTGCCACTGCACACAACAGAGTGAGACTCCGTCTCAAAAAAAAATTTTTTTTTTTTTTTTAAATTAGCCAGGCATAGTGGCACGTATCTGTGGTCCTAGCTACTCAGGAGGCTGAGGTAGGAGGATTGCTTGAGCCCAGGAGTTCCAGGTTGCAGTGAGCTATGATCATGCTACCACACTGCAACTTGGGTGACACAGCAAGATCTTATCTCACACACAAAAAAATTAAGCAAATAAAATAAATAAATAAACATAAGGTGTTTAAGAAAGAAAAAAATTCCTATCTCTTTACACCATAAATTCTACATCTAAGAATTTACATGAAGAAAACTATCTCAAAAAAGGAGAGCAAGATTTATTATTAAAAAGATGTTCATGGAGGTGTCATAAAAGTAACAAATTTTAGGCTAGGTGTGGTGGCTCATGCCAGTAATCTTAGTAGCATTTTGGGAGGCTGAGGAGGGAGGATCATTCACTTGAGCCTGGAAGGCTGAGGCTGCAGTGAACGGAGATTGTGCCACTGAACTCCAGCCCTGAGGGTTAGACTGAGCCTTTGTCTCAAAAAAAAAAAAAAAAAAAATAGGGTAACAACATAACAAAAAAGGTGGCTAAACAAATAAGATGAAATGCCATATGCAGCCATTACACATCATAATATTTGTAATCCCAGCACTCTGGGAGGCTGAAGCAGGTGGATCACTTGTAATCCCAGGACTTTGGGAAGCTGAAGCAGGAATAGAAATTTGAGACCAGGCCGGGCAACATGGCGAAACCCCATCTCTACTAAAAATACAAAAAATTAGCTGGTGTGGTGGCATGCGCCTGTAGTCCCAGCTGCTCAGGAGGCCAAGGCATGAGAATTGCTTGAACCCTGGGGGCAGAGGTTGCAGTGAGCCGAGCTCGCGCCACTGTACCACAGCCTGGGCAGCAGAGTGAGATTCTGTCTCAATTAAAAACAAAAAACAAAAATTAATGGTTATTACTGGGAGAGGATTGGGGAGAAATTAGCATTTTATATTCTGTACTGCCTGATTTTTTTTTTTTACATCAAGTTTGTACGGTGTTAAAAAAAAAAAAAAAAAATCAATGTCCCTAGTAGTATGGTAACATGCTTCAGTGGGTAAATTGAGGGTATTATTTTATCTATATTCACACTGCACCCTCTGGTGGTTCCACAAAGAAAAGGCTCTAAGTAGACGCCTACCTAGGGTTTATTGATATCCCTTGTCCATTTTTGTTGATGTTTTTGAATTAGACATATTTGTCTCAGATTTGTAATACTTCTTTGTATATTAAGGAAATTAATCCTTATGGGAGAAAAACTTGAAAAAATTATATAAATTAAATGATTACTTTTTATTTTGAAAAAAGATAACTATTCAATCTTTTTTATTACAGCAGCTAAATACCAGACTGCAGGGTACCCCAGTCCCATCCTCCCCTCCCCCCATTCTACACCTGGCTTTCTTTCTGTGTCCTGACCAAAAATCACAGAGTGCTTTGACAGTTCTGTGAGCCAGGCCAGTGCAGGGCGTTCCCATTGGGCTTGAACTCAAACCAGGCACTGATAAAGGCATCTAGGTTGCTACTCAAAACACTGAAAGAAACTGGCCTCAACCCTAAGCCAGATTCCTTAAACCCTCATATAAACTCCATACCCAGACTCCCTACTGTGGATATATCTAGGTAGAACACCCCTTTCCTCTTGCTGGCCATTGCAAGGACTGGTGCAGTACTCTACAAGTTCCCTTATTAAATGCTTTAGACTGATTGTTCTATTTGGTGGTTTTTTCTTTAGAATCCCAACTGACCTCAACTTGGGACAGTTTGGGATGCTCCCTTGTGGAGACTCACCTGCCTCCACTTTTAGGTTGAATCCAGCCACAGGTTTGGAGGGATAAAACGTAGACTTCTGAATAAACAATGTTCCCTATGAATATTTGAAAACCAACAGAATTGGAAAATATGGAACTAGGACTAGATCACGTATAAGCCTTCACTGAGAAGGTCTCTCATAAATCGGTCCTAACATAATGGCAAGTCCATTTTTGTTTGTCTTTTAAAATTTAATTTCTCATTTTTCTTTGAGACAGTATTGTTCAGGCTAGAATGCAGTGGCATGATCACAGCTCACTGCAGTCTCAACCTCTTGAACTCAAGCAATCCTCCCACCTCAGCCTCCAAATAGCTGGGACTACAGGCATGTACCACTATCCCCAGCTAGTATTTTAAATTTTTTATAGAGATGGGTGTCCCTGTGTTGCTTAGGCTGGTCTCAAATTCCTGGGCTCAAAGCAATCATTCAACTTCAGCCTCCCTAAGTGCTGGGATTACAAGTATGAGCCACAATGCCCAGTCTAAGTTTAATTTCTTAATCCAAAGTAATACATTACAAGCAATTTGGAAAGAAGAGGGGAAATCACTCATCACTTTTCATCCTAATAAAATTACTGCTAATATGTAGTCTATTTCCTTCCAATTAAAAAATATATTTTAAGATTCCTTTGTAGCTCATAAGTATAATAAATTGGGTTTTCACACAGAGATACATATAATTTTTAAATAATTAACTGTTAACATAAAATCCTCGTTTCCTTTCTGCAGAGATAGTATAGCATACTATACTATCTCATGGTATAGTATTTAAATGAATGGGCTCTGACTTAGTTCAAATCCTGCTTCTCCCCAACTTAATAAAACTTCATATGACTTTGGGGAAATTAGTTATCTTTCTAATCATAGAGGTTTTTTTTTATAATGGGAATGATTATAATGCTATCAATCTCATAAGAAAACTGAAAATTAAATGAGATAAGCACATAATCAGTGCTTATAGATGTCTACATTTAATTGAATATCAATGAAGTTTATGAATTCATTACCTTTTGGATAATTCTTTTTTGTGTTCTATTGCTAGTTCACTGCTTTCCCTAAGGGTCTTTATTTCATTTGCTGTTACTTCGTCATGCTGTGGATAGAAAAATAAGTCACATTTTAAAAAATTATCATACCGATGATCCAATCAGTAATTTTTTAAAAAAGGAAAAATAAACTGTCAATATATATACCAAAAGCCATAAAAATATTTACATATTTAAGTCCACTCAATCTACCTTTGTGGAAAAAATTTACAAAATTTTGTCCACACACATATATAATTATGCTATATATATTTTAGAGATACATAAAGAAGACCAGAATTTAAAATATGCCAGCTGTGGTTGTGTCAGATAAGTAAAACTTTGATTGATTTTATTCTCCTTTCAATTATTGAAATTTTCTCTAATGTGGTTATATTATTTTTCATTCACAAAAATAAGGAAACAAAAAAACTTGCTACTAATTTAAACTTTCTTAAAATCCTTGACTTAAGGATTCCTGGGCTTCTTGTGAGCTACAAATCAAAAAGATAAAGTAAGCTGAACAAATTATATTTCTCCTTCAAAAGGATAGTGAAGTATTTAGCTGTAAAGATATAAAAGAACTAAATGTATGTTAAGCTTTTTCTAAATATTTTGTGAAAGCAACTTAGATACTGGTACATGTCACATCATCTATTTATTTTATATACCATTAAAAAGTTTCTATATTTAAATAAAAACTTAAAGTCACTCCAAACAATGTTCCCCAGGTTTACCCTTATTATTGCCATTCAATAATATACATAATATAATGTTCCACTTATATATGCTATGGTTACAGTATTATAATTGGCTAATATTCATATCAACCAATATTTTGAAAGAATTGAGAAACTTTTATTATGTAATAATATAACTTCTAGAGTCAACATCAATACAAGCATGTTCTAGTAATTTTTTAGTAGAAAAATCATTGGATTGGGTTACAGCTGAGAAAATTTGGCTCTACTTTGCTAACATCTGGCTATATGAAAACAGGTCTTTATATTCTCCTTACCTTAGTTTTCTCATGTATAAAGCTAAATAATGAAATTAGTGACCTTTAAACTCTGAAATTCTGGTATAGTCAATAGTTACCATCATATAATAACTATTGCATTACTGCTCACATTCCTGGAAACACTGTGAAAAGTCAAGGATTAGATATTTCAGTCCTTAGTACAGCATACTATTAACTCCTAGACAAAAAACTGAAAAAAACTAGTATTTTCAGATGATGATGCTTCAGGAAGAAAAAACAAATTAATGAAAGAAATACAAAATATATAAGTTAATAGCCTGACTTTGGACACACTGTAAAGATTTTCTATATGATGTTGGCTGTGGGTTTAAAAAAAGTTTAAAAAAATTTTTAATAGAATAAAAGATTTTCTCCCTCTTTATTGTGAAAAATTTCAGACTTAGCAAAAATTTAAAGAATAATACAATAAATACCATATACCTTTCACCCAGATTCACAAAGTGTTAACATTTCCGACGCCTTGAGTGCCTCTTCTCTCTTTTTATTTTTGTGGAACCACTTGAAAACATTTGTAGATGTGACATCTCCACTCTTTTTTATTTGTTTGTTTGAAGAGAACGGGTTTCACCATGTTGGCCAGACTGGTCTTAAACCCCTGACTTCAAGTGATCCACCCGCCTCGGCCTCCCAAAGTGCTGGGATTACAGGCATGAGCCAGCGCACCTTGCTGACATTTCCACTCTTTAACACCTGGCATGTGTTTTCTAAAAAATACATTCTTTTATCTTTACAACACTACTATCACAGTTAAGAAAATAAAATGTAGCCGGGCGCGGTGGCTCAAGCCTGTAATCCCAGCACTTTGGGAGGCCAAGGCGGGTGGATCACGAGGTCAAGAGATCGAGACCATCCTGGTCAACACGGTGAAACCCCGTCTCTACTAAAACTACAAAAAATTAGCTGGGCATGGTGGCGCGTGCCTGTAATCCCAGCTACTCAGGAGGCTGAGGCAGGAGAATTGCCTGAACCCAGGAGGCGGAGGTTGCGGTGAGCCGAGATCGCGCCATTGCACTCCAGCCTGGGTAACAAGAGCGAAACTCCGTCTCAAAAAAAAAAAAAAGAAAATGTAATACAGTATCACCTATTATACAGTTCATTGCTAAATTTTCCCAATTGCTCTCAAACTGCCTTTTATATCTCTTTTTGTTAAAAAAAAAAAAGTACAGAATCCAATCATAGTTTATACATCACACTTGGTTGTTATGTCTCTTAATCTAGAACGGTCCTATTGCCTTTTTTGTGTTTTATGACATTGATGTTAATGTCCAGGTCAGTTAATTGTCTTGTGGTATGGTCCACATTCTGGATTTGCCTGATTCTTAACTCATAATTAAATTCAGGTTAAATGTATTGAACAAGAATACTACAGAGATAATATTGTGTATTTATTATATCATATCAGACTGAACACAATGAAAGATTGCTCCAATACTGGTGAGGCTAAGTTTGCTAAATTAAAGTAGTACCTGCCAGATCTCTCCATTGTAAAGATACATTGTTTAACTTTGTAACTAATAATCAGTCTGTGGGTGATTATTTGAGATCATGGGTTTAGAATTCATTAATGACCCTCATCTACATCAATTATTATACTGAGGGTTTTAAAAAATGAAGATTTCCTATTTTATCTTTCTTTCTATATTTACTAGCTGCTATTTTGTAAAGGAAAATTGTCCTTATCCCATCCTTTTCTTCCTTGTTTTCTTCCTCCTTTCCCTTCTTTCTGTCCTTCCTTTTTTCCTTAAGTCTGCTTTTAGAGTATTACACACACACACACACACACACACGGAATGCTTCATGAATTTGCATGTCATCCTTGCACAGGGGCCATGCTAATCTCTGTATTGTTCCAATTTTAGTATACGTGCTGCCGAAGCAAGAACATGGATTATTTTTACCTAACATATTACAATTCATTATTGTCATTATTTGTTTTAATGCTCAAATGTTCCCAAATTTGGCTATTACATAAAGATTTTGAAGTAAGTCAAAAGTATAAGTAAATCTGAGGCAGGGTGTCAAAAGCTACAAAACAGCTATTTTTCCAGTATTGTACACTTTGTTTTTTGGGGGCAGTAGGGGAGGGAATCAGGCAGCCCCCTGAACCAGAATAGGTTCAGACAGACTCTTGTACACATTTATTGAGAGATGTTATTCAAAACATTGAACTAATGGCACATCACAGGAATTAACCAATCAGAATCTACACTGGCAGTAAAGAACTGGTAAATACTATGCACGTATTACTCTCTTAATATTACTAACAGAAGCAAATTTTCAGGTTTCCTATGGGAATAATTATATTTATGCAAAAATATCTCAATTTTACTAATGTCCTACTATAAAACAATGTCGAACCAAACAATATTCAATAACAGCATGCCCTTTATATTTCTTAATCTGGGCAGTGGTTCATGCCTGTAATCCCAGCACTTTGGGAGGTAGAGGCAGGTAGATCACTTGATGTCAGGAGTTTGAGACCAGCCTGGCCAACATGGTAAAACCCGGTCTTTACTAAAAATACAAAAATTAGCTGGGCACACGCCTGCAATCCCAGCTAGTCTGGAGGCTGTGGCAGGAGAATCGCTTGAATCCGGAAGACACAGGTTGCAGTGAGCCGAGATCGCGCCTCTCCACTCCAACCTGAGTGACAGAGTGAGACTCTGTCTCAAAACAAATGGATAAATTTCTTAATCTAACTCATTGGTGCTAACATGTCACAAGTAAACCTTTTAAAGATAACTTTGCTTTCAGAAAATTTTGAAAGTGTAGATTCTAATCAATTACCTTAATTTACTCTTACCTTTTCTATCAGAAAATGTTGGTCTTGTTCCCAAATAAAACTACCGATTTTTCTTCTTATTTCTGTGGTGACAAAAACAAATCCAATACTGTTTTTTTAATTACAGAATCTTCTGAATTTTGCTTAAACTCTGAAATTTCTAGGTCAGTGTTATTCTATTTGCAACAAAATCACCTAACACACTTATTAAAATGCAAATTCTAATTGAATCAGATAATTGAAGAGGAGCTCTGGAATTTGCTTTTCTAACAAACTCCCCAGATGATTCTAATACACTTTGCTAATCATTGTAGACTTTTTCTGCTAGAATATATCTATATCTATATTTGTATCTATATATACATTAGAGGTGTGTATATATATATATCACTGAGGTATGTTCACCCTTCTTTTATATATATCTATATATACATTAGATATACATCTATATCTATATCTGTATCATTACATATACATTTGCACATATTTCTCTCTATATAATAATGCATATATATCTATTTAATGCATTAGCTATATATTAGACATATATCTAATTCACATCTAATGTCTATATATAGATACAGATATATAGATATAGCTATAGATATAGCTATAAAAGAAGGGTGGATGAACAATATCTCTAGTAAACATGGTAGCACAGGAATTCTGTAATGGTCAGCATGTCAAAGGAATATGTCATCATCCTAACTCAGTGATCTCAAAAGTTTTCACAGTAGCCAAAATTGGTAATATTACTCTAGACATTTTGCTGTCCAACATGGCAGCCACTAGCTACATGTAGGTACTGAGCCCTGAAAATGTGTGGTTAATCCAAATTGAGATATGCTGTAAGTATAAAATAAATGCAGGATTTTGAAGACTTAGTATCAAAAAAAGAATGTAGAGTATCTCAATTTTTATAGATTATATATTGAAATGATAATATTTTAGATATATGAGGTTAAATATGTTCCTAAAATTAATTCTACTCGGTTTTTTGTTTTGTTTTTTTTTTTTTTTTGAGATGGAGTCTTGCTTTGTCACCAGGCTGCAGTGCAGTGGCACAACCTAGGCTAACTGCAATCTCTGCCTCCTGAGTTCAAGCAATTCTCCTGCCTCAGCCATCAGAGTAGCTGGGATTACAGGTGTGAGCCACTGTACCTGGCCAATTAATTAATTTTTTTAGAGAAGAGGGTCTCACTATGTTGCCCAGACTAGAATGCAGTGGCTATTCACAAAGGTGACCATGGTGCACTGCAGCCTCAAACTCCCAGGCTCAAGGGATCCTCCCGCCTCGGCCTCTAGAGTACATGGGATTACAGGTGCACACAACTTCACCCAGCTATTTTTTATTCTTATTAATGTGGCTACTAGAAAATTTGAAATTCATATATGGCAAACATTTGCATCTCACACTTCTACTAGACAATACTGTTCTAGGCAGATTTTTAAAAATGTATACTTTGAATTTTTTAAAGAAGCATGTTTTCATTTAAAACAGATTTTTGAAAATTTAAATACGTCTTAATATAAGATGCTAAACTCAAAGACAGAATAGGACTGATAATTTAAGATTATATAATAGGAGTAATAAATTAAATCATAGCCATTCTACAATATAAGCTCCTTGAAACTGGGTCACTGATTGGCACACGTAGTTTTTTAAATCAATTCCCCATCCAGTCATTAATTGATTTGTGTAACCACTTAGAACAATTTAGTATTATTAGTTATCAGTAGGTTTCACCAGGACATTGACTATGGAAGGAACCAAATCTCTGGGGTCTCTAATGGCTCCTTTTTAGAAATAGTTTTTAAATTGTTTGTTTTCTTTTCTTTTTAATACTCTCTTCATTGGGAATCTGTACTCGGGTTCAGTCTGTCTTTCTGGAGATAAACACATATCTATTGGGTAGACAGGCTATATATCAAGAATTGGGTAATAATACAAAACCTACCAGTGGGGCATTTAAAGTTAGCCCAGGCCAAGTGTGGTGGCCCACACCTATATTCCTAGCACTTTGGGAGGCCAAGGTGGGTGGATCACTTGAGGTCAGAAATTCAAGACCAGCTTGGCCAACATGGTGAAACCCCATCTCTACTAAAAGTATAAAAATTAACTGGGTGTGGTCGTGGGCGCCTGCAGTCCCAGCTACTCAGGAGGCTGAGGAAGGAGAATCACTTGAACCCAGGAGGCAGAGGTTGCAGTGGGCTGAGATCACACCACTGCATTCCAGCCTGGATAACAAGGCAAGACTCCATCTTTAAAAAATAATAAAGTTAACCCAGAAAAAATAGCAGGATTTGGATAGATGAACAGGATAAGAAACGGTGTTCCAAGCAGGGAAAACTAAAAGAACCAATCTCAGAAGCAGTTTATTTACTTCCCCATCCTATTTCCTAGGGTTGCTGAAAAAATTAATGTGAAAGCACTTTCAAATGTATTTTTAAAAAATACAGGCCGGGTGCGGTGGCTCACGCCTGTAATCCCAGCACTTTGGGAGGCCGAGGCGGGTGGATCACGAGGTCAACAGATCGAGACCATCCTGGTCAACACGGTGAAACCCCGTCTCTACTAAAAATACAAAAAATTAGCTGGGCATGGTGGCGCATGCCTGTAATCCCAGCTACTCAGGAGGCTGAGGCAATTCTCCTGCCTCAG